GCTCGGAGAAACCCACGTTAAGCTTGGTCTTGTGCCACATACATTCCTTGTGGGGGGACTGTTAAATATAACAGTCTGTTTCATGCAAGTCTTTTATTCTTTTAGATGTAGTTGTAACAAATTTTCAATGCTAAACACAATCATCAGGCCATGGCCTGACGATTGCATTAGCATGAAACACCCTTTATACCTTTGGGTGTTAACTTCAGTGTCCATTTATTAATATATATATATATATATATATATATATATATATATATATATATATATAATGGGAAAACTCAATATAAACTTTTATATATCAAGAACAATTTTCAGGATATTCTTTTGTGTGATAAGTTTCATCCTTTTAGGACTTCATGAAGGCAAGGTGGGGGGAGAATTTCAAATTATTTTTTCTAATGTTTTCGGTACATAGTTTAGCAGATTTCATTCAGTTTCTTTTTGTTCATGATTACTTATGAAATGGAAACAAACAATACTGTACCTTTTGTAGATCTTACTTATTATAAAACGCAGATTGTGTGTGTGTGTCTGTAACGTTTATATATTGGATCGGATTTCCTACATTTTTCAACCGATTTCAACAAAACTTCACAGGACTACATAAAATTACCTTGTGGTGGTTATAACAGCGCCAAAAATGGATAAAATATAATTGTTTTTGCACAAAATCAATTTGAAAACACGATTAAGAGACATCGTGAAAATGGAAGGGGGACAACTCACATCAGGTTGTTTGTGTGTGGGGTTCCTTTAAATATGGGATCGGATTTCCTATATTTTTCAGCTGATAAAACAAAAATTCATTGTTTTTTTTTTTTTCTTTTTTTTTTTTTGGCAGGTAGTGTTTCTTATTCTCTTGCACACTTTTTTCTTTATTTTTAATATTCAGAATGCTTTAAAAATTCCATTTACAAGACAATTATTTATGATAAAATTCTATTCAATCAGGAGACTTATAACGATTGAAAACAATGTTTTTGTTTGGGTTTAACCAATTCGTAAAAAAAAAAAACAAACTAATTAAGACATGCATGTCCGTCAACCTTAAACAATAATCTAACGATCTCTACTGATTGTACGAATACAAACATCAGATAAACTCTTTATCTTTAGGGAAAGATAATGAAATCTAAACATACACAAGTCCTAACTAAAAAAATAATAACCGAAACTACTTTAAATACACATGGTGTCCAATTTTTTACTGTATTTAATAAGTAAAAATCATAAATTGTAAAAATTATTATTACAGAAAGGCTACTAAATGAATAAGATTTGTTAGATCATAATTAATAAACCCAAATAAAGTTAATATTTTTTGTATTAGAAACAACGAGTGGAAAATATATTCAAATCAGAATTCTAATTATGAATCACCACAAGCAAAATATGCAATTTTTTTTACTGTATTCAATAAGTAAAAATCATAAATTGTAAAACTAAAAGATTACAGAAAGGCTACCTACATTTTTCAACCGATTTCAGCAAAACTACAATTTTTTTTTTTTTTTTTTTGGCATGTAGTGTTCTTATTGTCTTGCACACTTTTTTTTTTATTTTTACATTCAGAATGCTTTAAAAATTCCATTTACAAGACAATTGTTTATAATAAAATTCTATGCAATCAGTAGAGACTCATAACGATTGAAAACAATGTTTTTGTTTGAGTTTGGGTTTGACCAATTTGTAAAAAAAAACAAAAAAAACTAATTAAGACATGCATATCCGTCAACCTTAAACAATAATCTTTGTCAATTTTATTTTTCAGCCTTTATGATGGTGGATACTAGATCTATCTCTTACTGTTATATCCCCGGGCAACGCCGGGCTCTACTGCTAGTATGTTATATTACAGTAACAATAGCCTAAAACAAAATGTCCATTGTAAATCAACTAATAAAAATGATCTCCTGAATTTCTATTCTCACATAACAACAAAATTAAATCCAAAATAATCATCGGGCTCTATTTAAGAGTACTCAGAATTTGTAGCCCTCAGTATTTACATGTAGAGGAGAAATACATGGAAAATACTTTTAAAGTCCTCCAATACCCTAATTATTTCATGTTCAATGCAAAACAAAAAGCTCATAGAATATTTCAAAATAGAAAAGCAAACCTTTCTGACAAACCCAATAAATTGAAATATATTGTTCTACTCACCAATTCTATCACAACAACTGAAAAGAATTTATCTAAGCTTAGCATAAAATTTGTTACAACTAGGTTTAAAACAATGAAAGACTTAATACCAAGTGAAATAATAATAAGCTAAAACTTGAAGGAGGAATTTACTTTAATTGCCACAAGAAATACACAGAAGAAACCTCAAGGAGTTTAAATAAAAGATTATATGAACATAAGAGGGATCTTTTACAAAACAACACATTAAATACATTCATTGCTTTCTGTAATGACTCTGACCATAATTATTTTATATATAAAATGCTAATCTAATTAAAAGAAAAAAACAATTTTCTAAGAGAAAAATGTTTAGAAAGTGCTTTAATTGTGAGATCATGCACAGTAATTTTACATATAAGTTCTTACAAAATTTCACTATTATTATTCACTCTTATTATAATGTGAGATATTTAATAACAAAAGTAATGGAAACCTGGACAAAAATAAAATAAATGGCATCATCTTGATAGACCCAAAAAATATCTTTTTAAAAAAAAAAAATTGAAAGTTAATTGAAAATTCTTAGTAACTCTTTTCCTTTGTTCATATGTATAGTTGTTACAACACCATGTGAAAACTTTAATTTTGTCATAGTATTTCATATATATATATATATATATATATATATATATATATATATCTACACACATATAAATATAGATAACTAAACTCGTTTCAAAAAACCCTCGAATTTTTGATTTGCTAATCAAATCAATCTTGAGGGAAAAAAGGTTTTCAAAAAAGTAAGAGCTACAAACATGAACTTCTGTCGACAAAAAATCGCACAGATGCAGGTCTGAAGCCCAAAGAAAAAACCCTGATACGAGTAACAACTAACAAAAGCGCTCAATACAACCATAGAGCAGACCTAGATACACCTAGCTTGACTTTCCCTGACGATCCGTTTAGGTGAAACCTAGGTATATATGTATGTATATGTATGTATGTGATAAAAATATAGTTTTAAGGTATGCTATATTTATGGGTAAAAGTGCTCAATATCAGGGATAGAGCATATGTAAATATAAAAGTGGACACTGAGATCAACACAATATTGCTTGAATGCAATCTTTATGAAGGACTGAAGATTGTGTTCATGCATGAAGCAGGCTCACTACTCAGTGTTCACTAATACATGTGATGAAAATATAATTTGAAGGTATGCTACATTTCTGGGTAAAGTGATCAATATTAGGGATAGAGCTAATGTAAACTGAGGTCAACACTGAGTGTTACATGCTTGAACATTAAAGGTCATTATGAAGATTGCGTTCAAGCATGAAACAGACTCGCCACTCAATGTTGATCTCTGTGTCTACCCACACACACACACATATATATATTCTACAATATATATATTTGGTTAAATAATCTAGGTGTATTATGTCTATTTTAGTTTTAATCCTTTCAAATTCACAAATTAATTTCTTAAGAAAATTTTAAAAACTTTCTTTCAAATAGTTTTTATTTTCCCAAGTACTTTCAATCTCATCTGGGACCATCTTCAGGGGTTGCATATCTATGGATATGTTATGTGTTAACACCATAAATTCAAAATATTTTTTTCACCACTATGCAAGGGAGGTAACTTGATTTTTTTTTTTTTTTTTTTTTTAAGATTTTAAATTGTAGTATTTTAATTTAGTATTTTGTATATAGTACTTTGCTGCTACAAACATTTAAGTACTTTGTTGCTATACTCATAGTTGATTTTATTTTTTGGCCACAATTCTCTTGTATGAAGGGCTTACAGAATTTTCAGTTTTTGCTTATTATTTTGATGAAGCACTTCAACTAATATCTGTCCAACCTGTGAAAGTGGACATGAGTGTTCCTTTAAATGTTCTGTGACTGAACTACAATTGCCTTCATCAACAAATTAATTTGTGGATATGGAAGGATTAAAACTAAAATAAATAAACATAATATGTCTAAATTATTTAACCAAACATGACTGAATGAAAATATGCTGTTAAAATACACACACACACACACACACACACACACATATATACATATATATATATATATATATATATATAAATAATCTAGGTGTGTTATGTCCATTTTTATATATATATATATATATTATAAAATTAACTGATTTAAAAATAGGGTTCCAGCGCTACACAAGAATTACCATGTTTCAAAAACATTTATTCATATATATATATATATATATATATATATATATATATATATGTTGACCACTAATATTATATATATATATATATATATATATATATATATATATATGCCTAGCATTTCATATGGATTATTTTCCTTGTTTGTTTAAAAAAAATGTCTTTAATGATGAAGATACCAATTTATTTCTTGTAATAATGTCTTTCTTCATTGTGTAAACATGTTAATGTAGGTTGTTTGGATTTAGCAAAGGCTTAGACTCTTGTCTCAAAAAAATAAATAAATATGTAAGTACAGCCTGTTGTCGCATTGTAGAATCTTATCTACAGCAGAGAACTTTGAGATTACTACTGCTGATAGGAAATATACAATTAGTTCTTGTACCTCCCACTAATGCTACTCTCATCATGAACTAGTATACTTGAATAAGTGGAATAAAACAGATGAAAGTTGTCTGCGTTGGGTTTTCAACAACTCTGTATGTCACATAATAAAATGACTAAGGCAGAAATGATGGATTCCTTTTGACAGTCACTTTTCTTCATCTTGATTAATTGTCAAAAGATAAAAATGTTCAACACTTTTCTTGGGGGGCAAATGTCAAAGGTTTTAAAGTTGCAGGAATTTTATCTTTGAACAAACATGTCAGATTAACCAAGTGGGATATGTTG